AAGAGGAGCCGAGGATGTCAGACAGCCTTTGAGAAGTAGAACACTGTTGCACTCTTTGGAAAAGGCAGAGATTGGAAGCCACATTGGCATGTGGGGGCATCTGAAGTGGGGAAGATGACTGAAGAATACTGAAAAGCCTGCAAAATCTGGGAGCTACTGTGCAGAAATGGAGAAAAGAATTAGACTAATGTTACCGATAGTTACGAAGTGAGGGGAGGCTGAACTGCAGCAAGGTTTGACATTTAATAGAGCAGGAGATTTGGCCAGAAGTGGAGTAGAGGAGAAAGGCAGCAGTGCTCTTGAGTCTGACACTATGATGCTGCTCAGGAATATAGCCACATACTGAAAAAGGAAGGTGTCCCTAGAGCTACCTCTGCTGCAAATATTCCAGTTCCTCTCTTTTTAACATTCCCAGTCCCCGGTCAGATTTACCTCAAACTGTAGTGGAGTATTGCAGCGACTAGCAGCCAGAGAAGGAATTGGTGAGAACATCATGCCATAACCGTTGCGACTCTCCTCCTCTCCTGGCAGCGATGAGCAGGGTGTAGCAAGCTGTGGGCTCACTGAGCCAGGAACTGAAGGGATGGGAGGTGGAGGGGTGACGGGAGAGAGCGGCCTCAGCAACTTCTTAACATTCTGCTCCATCAAGTAGCGAGACTTCCATTTCTTCAGGGGACTCAGCAAGTCTGAAAAAACAAACTGAGCTGAGGATAGGGCTGCACCATTAACTGTGTACAAATCACACGCTGTCCCCTTCCCCCTACTCCCAGCCCAAATGGAGCCCATGAGTCTCTGATGTGACTACAAAAGATTCCTAAAAATGCACTACCACTGAAGTACTTCTACTTCAAGACGTGTAGATACTGATAACAGAATAATACATAATCATACAATGAACAAGGAAAGGAAATATTTCAACTAGAAGAAAGTAAGCACAAAAGGGAGCGGGGGGGAAGGGAGCCAAGAAGGGATAAAAAGAGGAGCGGAGAGGGTCAGAAGGACATGTCACTGCTACGAACAAACCACAGGCAGCTCAATTTTCATTACCTGAACCTAATAGTTCCCTATACGCTACACATCAATACAGCCCAAACACATTTCACTCCCACAAAGGATTAATGCCTTTCCCTCAGGCCTACTCCTATTCAAAATAGTATCTTCTTTTGATGCTCAGTTTAAAAAAAAAAAATCAAAACAATAGTCAGTAAATTCTGCAGTTCAGTTGTTTGCTTCTTCAGGTCTTGCTCGGGGACGTGCATTTATTGGTTCTGGCATTCTGTTCATTTCTCACTCATCTAACTTTTCAATAATCAATTCTGTATTTTCTGTGTGTTGTCTAGCTTCCTGTCTGTCATCCTTGGAAAAATGATCCCTGACTGGGCAGATCTTCACCCTCTTTCTCTGTAGAAAGATTCAGACACAATATTTAACCATTCTGCTGCTTTACTCACAGATTTTAACTTCTCCATCTTTGAGACTTACTTAATCATTCGCTTATTACATACGTGCCTGTGAGACTTTGCTATATCTTCCTACAGTCAGCAGATATTTAGTTGTCCATCTAACAGCACCCTGCTGAAAAGAGATGATATTGTACTCTTTTTTTCCCCTCTATTGGACAAATGATCACACGGCACTGAGGTTAATGATGCAAGATAATGCGATTATCTTTTCACAGGAAAATACTAAGAAACTTTACACATGCTCAAGCTAGAATGGGTCTGCAGAAATTTGAATGAATGGCAAAGTAACATTCTCACCTGCCATAAAGCTGTGCCATCAAGCAGCAGTAAACATTAAGATGTCATCCCGTGCAGCTGCCTTTGTTATTCAGCAGCTTCCCCAGTTTCACTCAAGTGCCCACACTGCCCTGATAGTGCTGAGCACTTACCTGTGTCATCTTTGCAGATGCTGGAAGAACTGCTGTTCTCGTTACTTTGGTATAGACATTGGGTTCTGTTCTCTTGCGGAGCTGGTGAGGTCTGAGTCATCCCCTCCTCCAGGGCTTGTTTGATCCAGCGCTGAAACAGAACGAGACTACATAAACGTGCAACCCCTCCGGTACTTTCCATGTAATCTTGCGGGATGTACTCAAACTCCTACACTTCTGTGCAGCAGGGCAGACTACTCAGAACACTGATATTACCTCCTTCGCGTGCACTCAGACAGGAACCCGTTAGAACACAGCTGTTAACACTGAGTCTACCACCTACTGTGATGGGGCTGACTGTGCTCTTGATGAGATGTATTCTGGGGATCAGCAGTCTTCAGCAATAACACAAAGATAAGTAAAGAGCAAATTATAAATAGATAAAATGCAAAACTCTGGCAGCTAAAAACTATTAAAAGCAATTAAAAGAAAAGGGAGATAAATATGATGAACTATCTTAAAACTCTAATTTTTGCAAAAAAGCTGTCTCCTGCCTAGGAGCACAAACACACTGTCCCCCTGCTCCACTAAGACATATTAGAACTTAACATAGATTCTACGCTAACAATTCCAGCAGAGAAATGGCTGAGTTTAATCATGTAACAGTTCTTCCAGGACTGTGCTTGCTGCCAGGGACAAAGAGCAAAAAAATCTGATAAAATGCAAGCAGCAGTTTTCAAGGGAGCTAAAACAAGAAGAGAATAATAATGGCAAACCTTTTCTTCAGCTACTAATAAAAGAGATAAAAGTCACAGTGGTCTTCTGAACACAGACAATACAGAATGTTTCACATCTCATGCAAGTGAACATGAATTGAAGCCTCAGCAAATCAGCTGCTGCAGTGGGTGTGCCAGCCCTGTATCTTGATACAAACTGATTCCTGATGGTAGGCAGGAAACCTTTGCTTACTTTACTATAAAAAAAATAATTGCCACAATATAAGGGAAAACATCCAGGTGATTCAGTAAAATGACAGCAAACTGCTGAAAAAAAACAAATAGTAATTTGGGTAGTTTACCCAAGGGACTCACTTTACCAGCCTTTTCTTCTCCCAGGGAGGTTTAAAATCGTAAGTTTACCTTTCAGTAATCCACAGTTCATCTGCATGCCAGCAATACGTATCCTATTAGAGATACACGTATATGTCTTATGATTCCTCAAAGCTATCATGAAAGTGCTTTAGAAACTCAGTGGCCACAATCCTCAAAGTGAAAACTTCAATGCGAGGATGAAGAGCAGGTGACAGGATCTATTTTGATGGCCTTCACTACTGTACAGCAGATGCTTCTTCTCTGTTCAAATATAACTCAATGGATTCCACTGCAGTCACCAGGAAAAGTGAGAAGTGCCAGCCAGTCTGGAGCACTGCTACCTCAAATGCAGCATCTGATCTGACAGCCAAGTCACTGTACAATGTGTGATTAACATGAGCAGGTTATACAGTTCAGTTTCCTTACGAGGTTCAGACATTGGCATGCTTTGGATGCAAACTGAGATCATCAGCTGAGGTTTTTTGGCACAGTCCTCAGTAGTTTAAGGAAGAGGCCTGCTGACAATCCAAGAAAATATGTAATCTATTTCAACAGCCTTTATAAATCAACCTTCCTGACGGAGTAGTCAGAAGCATAGAAGACAGAAAGATCAGGTCTTGAGAGAGCAAGTTCTGAACCATTTCTAGACCTCAGCTGGCTGAAAAGGAGGTCTTCCCTGTGAGAGTTTTCTAAACATTCCTGAACATGAGCAGCAGACTTTTTCTACATCTCCAGACTGTTAGTGATAAAAACACCGAATGCTACCAAGCATTTTCCATGAAAAAGCTGTGGAACTCCTATAAAGTAGATTAAACCCCTTATTAGAACAGTTATTGATTAGTTACTTTCAAAAAGTAGAAATCTAACAAATTAGTTTCTGCAACATCTGTTCTGGAAACAGAAGCTTTCAGTATTTTATTAAATTATTTAGATAATGGAACAGGCAGTGTACTTAAGTTTTCAGATGATGCCAACCTGTTACAGAATTCACGTTTTTCCTACTAAATTGGGAAATGGATGGGGAAAAACAGGACACAGCTCAGCACAGGCTAGAACAAAGTACCATATAAAGCCAGAAACAATCACTTCTAAAATTACAACAGACTAGAAAACTAATGGGTTGTTCTAACAAACATAGTAAATCACAAACTGAACATGAGTCTAAATCAATCTGTCAAAGAAAACTCAGTCATCATACCGGGATGCACAAAATGGGTATAGGCTACAAGACACAGAGCAACTTTCTGCTTTGAAAATGCCCCAGCTGCAACACAACATCCAGTTTTGGATACTCAGCTTCAGGGAAGATGTGGACTAAATGGAAGTCATCCATAGCTAGACTAGTCCATTCCCTCTCCAGCAGTGAGAATTATCATGTGACTAGAAAATAGCCAAATGTAGCAAGAGATTGGAAGACCTGTTCCATGACAACAGTTTTCCCTGAATTGTGAGCTTGCTGGCTAGTTGTACAGCAAATGCACCAAGCAGAGAACTCGGAATAACTCTGCCATTTTTGCTCTGCATGCTTCTCTCTTCCCTGAGGCTCAAAGACACTGTTAAGGTTCAAAAAAACATCTCGAACCTTGCAGTTCTCAGCTTAAAGATGCACAGGGAGATTGCCCAGGCACATGGAAACAAACATGGTTTTGTTCATATGAGTATATACGAACCATCGAGAGCTTTACCTATGAAGAAATACCCAAGAGAGACCTTAGCTTCTTTTTGTAGGTGCCTGTTAGGGTATGACAACAAATTGGCTGAAGGTGGAAACAGTAAAGTCCAAAGCTTCTCTCTAGAAAAACTCCCTCAAAGGAAGGTGAAGAAACCAGGACATGGTACCTGACTTTGAAAGCTACCAAGACTGGAAGATCAGAAAGGATCTCCATAAAATTCTTCTCAGGTAATCACACAAAAACTGGAAGACCCTCTGAGCAAAGCTGACAGACAACAGGCAAGATGAATTCTCATAGAAATCTGACTGAGCAAACTAACCTAAATTACTATTTCCCTGCAGATGGGTAAATGCTAACATTTACTGGCCACATACCATCTCTGGAGGAAAGTCCTCAGCTGGGCTCAGTTCAGGCTTCCTGCACGGCCACAAGTATCTGTTGTAGATAGACAGTCTACGATCCCAAATAAAGAGCTGTGGGCTTGCTTTCGTGAACAGGCAAACTCAAAGCTTTGCTAAACAACAAAGGCTCTCCAAAGACAATGGATCTTGACTGAGGCACTATATTCTTGAGGTCTTTTGCAACACTGCCCTATCCCCACAACGCCAACTATCCTCTGACTACGAAAATAATAACATAAAACATTCTAAGGGCAACAATTAGAACTCCTTGAATTGCATATGCTGGATAATAAACAGCCACTGCAGATTTGAAAGCACATGTTTCTAAGAAGAGAGTCACAGAACAGTTGTTCTACCATGGTAAAAGGCAAGGATGAAGACTGAACCCCGGATAGGAGAGGGTCAGCCTAGAGACTGCATCGTGCAGGAATATATGGAAATAGGTTCAAAGAGGACACAACAACTTTACAAGGGTGCCAGTAAGAGCTTGAGGAGTATACAGCCCCTGAAGGTAAGACATGAGCAAACATACCTTTTTACAGGAGCTGTAAATGCCATCCAACAGAAAGGGCCTTCGACGTCTCTCAGGGTTGAAAGGTGAACCAAAACGAATGTAGTGTTTAGGTGTGGTACAAATTAGCGGGGAGTGGATGAGACCCGGCAACATATTTAAGGTAGTTGCCAAAACTGTTGGGTCTGTAGTAATGCGCAGAGGGCATTCAATAGGGCACTCCTGCTTTTCTGCCTTGTCGTTCAGCCATTCGGTAACAAGATACTGAAGGAGAAAACACATGTCAATGCAACTGGCATAGGTGAAGAAGAAAGGCAATATGGCACAAAGGTGTATGCGGAAGCAAAGCTCAGGTCAGCCCACATGCTATAACATCCCTTCTCAACAGGAAGGAAACCAGCTAGGACTTCCTGCATAAACCCAATTTTCATCTGTTGGAGGCACAACAACAGGTAATCCAGTTTTACAGGAGTAGCTCCATTTTATGCTCCATTAATCTTATTAGAAGGTTATCCCAAAACTTGATCACCTTGTTCAAAACTAGTTTTTAGCTGCAAGTCTAAATGTATTAATGGCTAATTTATGGCCAGTACGTAGCAGCTGCCTGCTAGCTTCTGCGATTTTTCCTCCTTTCCCTTACAAGTTTCTCCAAGCTTGTACATTATAGTCTGCAGTCACACTCCCTCTTGGTCTTCAATTCTAAGCTGAAAGCTAACCTCTTCTGCTTTGTCCTAAACAAATACCCCCCAGCCTGCCATCCCACCCCATCCCAAAAAGATACTGCCGCTGATTCCTATATCAAACACATTTTTATGCCATTCTGAATTTATTTTTAAATTCCAACTGATCTTTACTACATAATGGCTCCACTTTTCTCTCTTCTTTCTCTTGCTGGTATACACAAGAGAACCTTTGTTTTACTGTCCTTCACAAGATGCAGCACCCTGGTTATTTCAAGGTGGTTTTCTTGGTTTTTTAAGCAAGTCTCACTACACCTCTATGCTGCTTGATTTAAGGTAACTTTCTTGGTTGACAGTCTTTTTCTCCTTGCTCTTAAGACACTGGGAATATGCAGAAAACTTCTTGAGATCATATGCATCCAACCTTTTCTAATAAACATCCTTTCTTTTGGGCCCAAAAGCTAGTGCTCTTTTCCAAACTATCAGCATCTAGTTTTTAAATGCCAGTTACCCCATCAGAGTTGTAACAACCACTTTTGCATGCTGCTGCCAAAAGCTTTTGCTAGCTTACTGTGCATAGATCCAAACACATCGGCTCTCCCCATCTTTCTATTAGTACCTTGTTCCCCTGCAGGAACAACACAGCTTGCTGTCCTTACGGCCTTTGCCAGCCATCTCCCAAGCCTCTCATTGCCCTCCACACCAGTACTGAAACATCTGCTTTTTGCTTCTCTCACCCAGGGCTCAGCCTCCATCACCCAATTCCTTATGTTGCCAAGCCCCTCCAACCCTTCTCTCCCAGGGCCCTTCAAGCTGGAAGCAGTTTCTTTTCCACGTACACAAAGCTGTATAATTTGCCTCTTTCTAGACTCTCTGCTGTACCTAAAAGTGAGACCCTTCCTGTTGCACCTGTACCACTCTGTCGGTATCTAAGGTCTACGTAGACTTGCTGTAAAGATCAGCTAATTTCTTTTTCTGATCTTTGTGTGTACAGGGCTGACCAGCCAGATTCTGAACCATGATGAGGGCTGTTAGCCACTATAGAACAAATAATACAGTAAACAAAGACACATAATTCCAACTATTTTGAAGAACTGTTTCCCCTGAGCCAACTTTTCCCCAACGGCCACACAAAACCTCTTTTTCCCCTCTCCAGTTTGAGCACTTGATCATATTTACCTTTTTAGTTTTGGGGTACTTTACTGCAGCTCGATTAGACTGAGATCCTGCAGCCAGGATAGCAGTTGGGTCAGATCCCGTCAACTGTCTGCCTTCTCCTGGACCTTCTACATTGCTGACATCTGTTGCGGTTACCAAGCTGGCAGTGCTTCCTTCCTCTGGGACAGCCTGTGCAAGTTCAGCTTGCTGGGAACTGGCTTGTTTCTGCCTTCTCAGTCTTTGTGCTGAACTGGTCCGGTATCGAGAAAAGCGACTTTTTGGTCGGGGCCTGGAGGGTTTTGCTGGAGCTGGCTTAGTAACTGTTTTTTCGGGGACAGCATCCTACAATATAAACTGTCATTAGTCCGAGCACCTCTAAGAGTATTCCTTTTTTCTGCATACAGAATCAAGGATTGAGATTTATTTATTGACACTACCTGACTCATAAAATCTGGTTAGACCCTGTTTGTATTGGCTTTGGGGACCCTTCTAAAACACCGTCACATTATCATTTTGTCTGCTTTGTGTTCTTAAAGGGATCAACCAGAACATTGGTCTTAAGGAAGAAAGCAGCAATATGAAACTTGCCACTTGTCTCAACATAACTGCTTTTACTCCTGATCTGAGCTGACATGTATCATTCCAAGCAAGTATCTGGGCCTGTCATATAATGGGAACACATGCATCCAAAGTAGACCAAGCCAAAAAAACCGAAGAAAAAGCAAAAGAATTCCTCAATCACTGCAGTTACGCATCCAACTTAAGCTCACACCAGTACAGAAGGGGCCCACTTGGAAAAGGAGCTGGGCTTGTTCAGCCCAGAGAAGAGAATACTTAGGGGGACCTAATAGCAGTCATCTTGCATCCAGACTGAAGCCACCAAGAAGATGCAGTGATACACCAACATACATACACTGAAATGAGAAGTTCAGACCAGATACAAGGCAAAATTTTTTCACCATGAGAACAGTCATGAATTGGAAGAGGTTTCCCAGAGGGACTGTGCAATCTCCATCCTTGGAGGTATTCAAGACAAGACTGAGTGAAACCCTGGCCAACCTGATCTGACCTCAGAGCTGACCCTGTCTGATGCAGAACAGGCTAGAGACCCCACGAAGCTCCTCCCAGCCTGAATGATCTTATGATCAGATATGCTGCACCTGAGCTTGGAACAAGCCATTAAACAGTCCTATCATCGTCTTACCACTACTTGTGAAGACCGTCGTGTGTTCACCCCAGTACTGCTGTTACTGTTAGAAACATTTGGAGCAGCAGCACTCGGTGCTGAACTTCCGTCTTCAGTTTCAGGAGTCTCTGTTTTTATTTCCTCCAGCTCAGGAGCTTCAGAATTGATGTTGATTTCAGCATCAGTGCTGTTACGGTCTGATGGTTGCTCTCGTCTCCTCTTTCTCTTTTCCAAGTTTTCAAACATGTGCATGATGGCTTCTACTTTCCGGTCTTCCCGGGACTAGAACGCAAGAGTAAATTTAAGTCAGCACTGCAAATTATGCATATAAAGAGGAGGAGGCAAGAACAGATATGGATGCAGCACAGGAAGGAGAACAACTGCAAAATAGCAATGACAAGAGCCAGAAAGGGGACTGAGAGAAGCAGTGCTTTTCAGATATCTGCATTTTTCAACATGGCAAATTTCCCAGAATAACAACAACATAATCATGTGTTCATAGAGTAACTAGAAGAACTAGACTTTGTTCTGAAATAGGACCACTTAGATACTACTGAGTTATATTTATAAAATAGCCACAAGGAAATGCATAATTTTGAAGAACTACAAACGGTAAGAAAGAATAAACAGAGTGAAGAGACGACTTGGAAACAAATAAGAGCTACTTGCTAATGACCAAACATTAGAAGCAAACAGAAGCCAGAGGCAACAGAAGTAAGTGAATCAGTAATTTGCAGCAAGTATAACACACCACACAAACTGACTAAAATGATCCAGATTCATTCCTTCCCTGATGTCAGGAGATCACCCAGCTCAAAAATAAAAGCTCTTGTCTAAGCAGCTTACACAGTGGATAAGAAAAACAGAACATGAGAGAATAGAGAGGCAAACCAAAGGTATTTATCAAGTAAACAGAAAGGACAGAAAATCTTATCACCTAGCTGTGTCAGAAATAACTGGTAATTATGCATGTAAAAGGCCCAGTACAATAATGCTGCAGTGACTGGCAAAAAACAGGCTGAATCAAGTGAATCTTAGGAAGTGGGGTCAAGTGCCTTCTGAGAGTTGTCATGGAGGAAAAAGTACCTTGAAGCATATAGCAGTACTCAATGACAGCAGCCTGGTCTTTACAATTTTCTGTTCAAAAATATTCAATACACACAAAAAAACTTAAAGACTGGGAAAACTACAGATACAAGTATTTACCTGGTGCCAAGTATAGAAAACTGAATCTCATTAAAGGAGATTAACTGGTGCAACGTACAGGAACAGGGCTTAACAGGCTCATGGGGAACTAACACTTCACTTAGTCTTTTTAACTATACTGTCCCAGAAAGAGATCAGCTTCTCTGCATTAAAATGAAATCTTCCCTCCAAGCTTAAGGCCAGCCTGATGGAAGACTGCTCTTATTCAAATTTCAGTAGAAACTGACTGCTTTATCTTACCTGTTTTAAAAAATCCATGAGATAATCCAAGGATCTCTCTGCTGGCTGGCCCTCGGCTCTGCAATTTCCTGCACCATCTTAACATTTAAAGCATTCTCAGGAAATTTACACATGGAAGATCCATATCTCCAATTAGAGAACGTCGGGTGGACTAAGGTATTTGGTGAACAAACGAAAACCAGGGAACTCCTAGCTCCAACACATTTGTTGGCTGGTAAAAGGATGGGAGCACTTTTTCTTTTTTTCTTCCTTGGATTTTTGGTTGATTGGTTGTTTTGTTTTTTTGGGGGGTTGTTGGTTGTTTATTTGTTTATTTTGTTTTTTTGTTTTGCTTTGGGGTTTAATTTTGTTTTTTTAAATTAATGAATTAAGTAGAGCCAGAACAGCTCCATTCACATGCATAAACCATTCTAATCCAGGGAGCAATCCCAGGTGCCGTAAGAAGCACGAGAAAAAAAACAGTTCTACCCAGTACAGAAGGCAGCTGAGAAGGGACTGTTATCAAAGATCCAAGAGGACTATGAAATATTTTGATCAAGCAGACTGATTAAGACAACAACGATTTGGGAGCACAAAGGGATTTCCTATTAAAGAACATAGCAAATTTTGTTGACTTGTGCCAATAGCGCTGTTGGTGGTCTACCCCTCTTACTAACTTTTGCCACTTGATCCTACCCTTTTTCCACATGGTAACACGTTTACGAACCCATCCCGGGAACAGCTAAATGTTAACAAACCTCACCCAGCAAAATGGGTCAAGTTTTAACAAAATCACGTTCTGGTTCATCATATGATCTAGTTGAAGATGTCCCTGCTCATTGCAGGGGCAAGTTGGACTAGTTGACCTTTAAAGGTCCCTTCCAACCCAACTATTCTATGATTTTATGACTCTATATGGCTCCATAAATTCTTGTACTGGCAATAAGGAAGGGCAGCAGGAACATAAAAAGGGTGCAATTACCTTTTTTGAATCTGGTGCTGTCTTGTTAATGGTATGTTTTAGACTATAGAATAGCCCTGAAAGTTAACAGTTAAACCTGTCATATACCTTCTAATCTGCAGTACCCTAACATAAATCCTGTGATGTGGAGTCAACCTGGGTGTTCTTTGTGGGTTGTTTTTTTTTTTTTTCAGTGTTTTTGTGGTTTGTTGTGTTGTTGGTTTGGTTTTTTTTTTTAAATCAAATTACTGCAGACCACTGACAGCTGGAATTTGTGTTGAAACAAGTGAAATAACCAACTGGACCTGTTGGTCACTGCATGAAGCAAGTCCTAAGGGGGATGATACCCAGACCGAGAAAGGTACTTGCCCGTCGGCTGTGGACCAAGGCTCCCTGTTCATCTACAGGCTCCTCTTTCTCCCCTTCTTGTTTCTCCTCCTTGTCTGCCACCTGAAAGAGAAGCCCAGACTTAGTATGTCAAACAAAATCCGGTACTGTTTTAAAGTTATCAAGATTCCTATGGTAATCTAAGGTGCTAAGGGTTTAGAAAAGGTCTCCTGCAGTTTCTGTTCAGAAGATCCCAGTGCTGTATTGGATCAGATTCCACACCACTGAATGATAAAAATATATGTAACAAAGTGTCAAGGGTTTTACCTCATTGTCACTGACTGCTGCAGGTCCCTCAGGAACTTCCTCCGTTTGTTGACTGCTGTTCTCATCCGATGCAATACCCTGCTGTTCCATTTCTAGTTCCTTTCGACGGGCTTTTCGCCGGCGTGTTTCTGCCCCAATCAGTGTGCCTAAAACAGGTGGAGGTAGGTGTTCTGCAGCATTTGGGCTACGTTTCTGCACAGGGCAATTCCGGTTCCCCTTGTGACACGCACAGTCCACTTTATAGTTGCTGCTCCAAAACACAAACATAATTCGTGTCACTCTTCACTTCTCAACCCTTGTACAGAGACATTCAATGCATCTCCTACTAAACATCTCACCACGTGCCAAAGCAAGGACAGCAGGCTACCTTATGGCCTCTATTGTAGAATATGCCAGCAGAACTGGACAGAATAGCCGGAAAATGCAATTCAGTAGAAAACGGAGCAAAATGTAGAATGCGAGGAAAGGGCTGGAGGAAGATGTCCAGTCCAGGAGGGCAGTGGAGAGCTCCTGGGCGAGGTGAAGGACTCACCAGATGTTGTACTCATAGTCAAAGGCGATGGTAACCTCTGTGTCCTTGGCAATGGTGGCAACAGCATAGATACACAGGTGGATCATCCCATCAGCAATCACATGACGAACCTTGTTAAACAAAGCAGAGAGAAACTAACATCTCCACAAGTTGCACTTCTTACTTCCAAGAGGGAAGCCTCCTTCTGCAAAGTAGTTCTTATCTATTCCACGAATAATTATCCTAAATTCTCCATAGGTAAAAGCCTGCTTCACTGCTCTTGTCTCATCCTGTGCTTTTCCACTTACACCTACTACCACCTGCTTACCCTAAGTATCATTCTGCAGCCAAAGGAAAGCCGTAAAAGAAACCTTTTCCTTCCAAAGAAAAAACTCATGTTCCCAAACTTTCTCATCTTCCAAGTATAAACCATCAAACAAGCAAGAGATGCAGAGAATTTACCCTACTTAGTGCATTTCAAGTTTGAATATTCATAAAAAGGGAATGCACTAAGCCTGTGTAAAACATGTATTTGCAATTACAGTGACGGTGAAGAGAGAATTTACCTCTGCATTTGGAGTGCAGGAACGCCTGATGAACCTGGCATCATTACCAAAGGTGCGGGCATCAACACACATTTCAACGCCATTGAACTTGGAGTAGAACAGCACAAAGGGATATGGCCTGGAGAAGTAACAGAACGTCTCAATCCCAAAATACCCAATTCCCATGGCACTTACAAGAGTTATCCCTCACTTCACTGGAAGCAGCGCTTCCATCAGTGCTATTGCTCTGGGCGCTTATGCACTTCCATCATCACAGTTTAACAGATCTACTTCAGAGGGGTTTGGTCCAGAGCATCAAGCTGAGGTTGTATATTTGATTTCACATTTCTATGGATGGCACAGCTGACAAGGGCCCTGTAAGTGTGCATTATCCCATAGAGACACTAGTCTCTCTGTGCCATGATGCTCTCATACTAATCACTTCATAGTACTCTTACTTTTTGAAGAAATGCCCATTGACCTCGAATTGCTGTCGTAACATAACCTTCCCTCGATACTCAATTATAAGGGTATCTAGTGCCAAGTCTCTTGCTGCCCTCAGGATCTTCCGGTGCTTCTGAACCCGAGTCACCCTTCCCAGCTGCAGCTGTAACAAAAACCAGAGCAAAATATGAGAATTTAAACCAAAGGCCTCTAACTCATAAAGAATATTTTACCTACATGAAAAGAAAAATTACTCTAGTAGCAACACACAGAAACTCTGCCAGGTGAATATATTGTTTATTCTTAACAGTTTAGTAATGACCAATGACCTTGGCAATATTTATCAAAAGCAAAGAGTATTTATTCCTTTCCTTCAACAGTAAGTCTCACAAATCTAACAGACCAAGTATTTCAGTCTTGCAGCTAGGAGGCATAACCAGACCTGCCAGTTGCTGCTAACAGGGAACTGCTCTGCAATTATAGCCACTTTCACAGCCAGAATAATTCAAATCTTCCCTAAATTGTGGGAAAAAACACAAGCTTTTCCTTCTGCAGAGGATGGTAAATTCCACCTAATAGGCCAAAGACTTAAGCTGACAATTTCTATCTCCATCCAGAAACTTCTCTTCATCTGCCTGCTCAACTAGTGCTGTGGAATTTTTTTTTTTTAACATGAAGAAATACATTTTTAACTAAGTAGTGACAGTTTGACGAATCTTCTTTATGTTAAAGTCTACAGCTCTATTACAATGGATTTTCACAACAATGTGTTTTGACAGCATGAAACCACAACATCCTTTAAGCACAGACATCCAAATACGACACATTTTATGGAATAATGGAAGGGATATTGTAAGCACTAGGTCACAGGAAAGACTTCTTCCATAAAAACAAAGTACTTTTCTTGCTTAACAGATTGAACCTCTCTGCAAGTAAAAATTATGTGAAGATGGCTGGCTGCCTTACCACAAGAGCTGTGCCTGCTCTTTCCTAAGCTGCTATTCACTGCTCATAAGGACCCGGTTTGGATACTTTTCTGGAGTGAACTGAGGCATGAGTGTTCTTATTTCAGTAATAATGACAGTCATCTATCTAAATTAGAAGTAAACCACAAGATTTTATTAAAAGCAAGCTCCCAACTTTTCCTGATAAAACTCTCTTGTTAGAAGCAGCTACTGAGCAGTCTGCTCAAATGGATAAAAATCACATTAGCTTAAGAAAGGGCTCAGTCTGCACAATGACAGAACCCATGACATTCTAACCTTGCGAAAATAACGTTAATGCCTTAAGGCAGCACTCAGCACTGGAACCAAACTAAACCCTCCGTACTGACCATACTGAACCACAGATTTTTTTTTTTTTGGTAGCAATCTTGCATGTGCTCTGAATTAAACCTCTTTGGGAAGAAGATGACTTTTGTTGTTTTAATATGACATTATACTGCAGATCTTGGATCAGCCAGTAAAGCAAGATCTATTTGTTGACTTCTCTCACTCAGGTCCAGGATAAAGATAGCTTTATAAAAATATTCATTTGAAACCTATGCAGATGGGAGTAATGGTCTTGCTATTCCAGATCTCCTCTTAGAGATATATCCAGTGCTACATTTATCATGCCTGTGGGGTATATCTCTTTTTCATACCACTGTATCTGCTGGCAATTGGAAAAACCTGCATGCCTGTATTGGAGACTCTGAAAAGCCTTGCAGGGTGTCGTTCATCTCTTCATATCTTGGGTCCTCATAGGAGCTCACAGAGGATTCCCCAAGTCCACTGAACTGGCATTAAAGAAACATGTTATTTCCAGACTAAGATGCCACACTGCTGGCCCTGATTTCTGATCAACAAACCCATGACATGAATGAACTGTAGGATAAGACTGTTTACATTACTGAGAGTAGTGGCTAAATTATTTTTAAAACGTTGGATACACTTTGTACTATCCAACTGTGGTAACAGAATAAATAAATGGGACTAGATTTGTTAGTGCATGACAGAACGAGATAAAGAGAAAGTATCTGAAGTTAGTAGATAAATTAGGACTGAGACACAAGCGTGTTTCCAGTTGAATAATTTTGTTTCTATACTACTGCTTGTTTGCTGTTATAATCAGTTTCTCATCTAAGCTGGCCCTATGCAGGAGGGTTGGACCAGATGATCTTCAGTGGTTCCTCCCAACCTAAATTATTCTACTACTCTATCAAATTCTCTTAGTATCTTTCAGAGATGCAAGTTAATGTCTGGTAGCCTTCACTCTCACCTTTGGCCCGTGACTGACTTGTATTACTGTTCACCTGATGCTGGAAAATAGCTTGGGGAACACAGGTGGGATAAGGTGGGGTGGTGGGAGGAGAAGAGAGCCCATGAAGGAAAGAGCAGCTCTGCATCTGTAAAACTTAACAATTATCTGAGTTTGGTAAAACAGGAATGATCTCATAGCTTTTCTGATAAGACCCTAGCTCAGCTTGTTTTCATTCTCTGAATTTAGGAATATGAAGAGGATTAGCTGCCATGCTTTCATGTGTGAAAAGAACAAATGATTTTATTCATGTCATAGGCTAGGGATTGCTGACTGCTAATCAGACAAAACTGTTCTGATACGTTTGCAGAGCAACATCTTCATAATACTCAGTGGCTTTATATTGTAAAGGCCCTTTCGCTCTTCACTTCAGAATGTTTGAGCTCCAGTCAGCAATTATCAGAGGCAACAAAGGGCAAATACTGACCCTGGGTTTGTTTGGCAACAGAAGGCAGGAAAGTGATTCACAGCTTTCAGTTTGTCAAGCATCTGGCAGTAGCCAGCACTAAGATGATTTTATTTGTGACACTGAACAGCTTCATATTTTCACAAATTTCCCTTTGCATCATTAGGACAATTTAATTGGTTTATCCAAAACATTCCAATGGTCAAAATCCCATATCCTGCATGTATTACTCGTAACCCATCTTTCCCTCCGCCCCCTGGCTTGGGGAAGCTTTTAGGTCACACTTTCTTCTTCTCTCTCTCTTTTTTTTTTTTTTTTTTAATTAAGTATACACTTGCATCATTGTTTACCCAAGCCAAAAAACTCTCTCAACTGTGAGAGTATGCAGGGCATATAAAACATTTTATTTTTATTCCTTTCTCCTCTCTCCAGAGTCTTCATGGCCAAATAGAGCAGTTACCCATCTTCTACACACAGCTGCTATCTGCATATGGACACAACCTCCTTAATTTTTTTTCTAGCTCCAAGTACCTATTTCCTTATCTCCCAGAAAAGTTGTTTTTACATCCAGTAATGATATCTAGTTAAAAGACAACTGATGCAAACCAAGAAGCCTTCTCAGTTTGTCTAACAAAGATGAGACAAGTGAGTGGAACAAAAACATAAAGCACAGGATAAGAGACCACGCACTCCACACCTGTGCAGGCTATCCTCCTCGCAACACTCCACAGCCATCTGCTGAGCAGAGAAAACAAGGACATAAGGGCTGACAAGCAGCAGCCTGAGACAGCCACCTGGTCTCTCCCCAGTATCCAAGAGGAACTACAAAGCCACTAAGTCCCTTTATACTTCCCCAGCATGCGCAATGATAGGTGCCTACCTACAGCTTGTTTAGAGTAACTGCAGCTCACGATGAAGTTTTGCAACTTTCTATCTTTTTGTTTCTTTGGGACATACTGCATTTGGAATCTTCTGATTCGGGATGCTGGTCACTTTTCCCTGTGGGAAAACCTATGTCTGTACAGGGAAGGGAGAGGCCAAGAGAGCACGACAAGAACAAGCACAATTATGTATGATATCTTTTATAATCATCTGTCCTGCTGTTCTCTATGAAGGTGATAAAAATAAACAGCGTATGTTTTATTACTTATTTCAGGACTCTTCCTAAAACTCACGTGAAGGAGATAGAAGAGTTTACATTTAGTCTTAGAAAATACTAAGATTTCTAGAGAAGCAGAACTTTTTCTTCCCTATATTTCCTCAGTTGCTCTCTTTAGGAAGGCTACTCACATAGCCAAGTAGAAGTCTCTCTCCCCAACCCCCACAGAAGTCTTATTATTGCAGAACTAGAGGCAAGAGTGGAAGGAAGTTGGGTCCAAAGTCCTCTTTCTGTGCCCTCCCTTACCGGCAATATCTGTGCTTTGCCTGATGTTCTTCACCTACATGAAAGCAGAGGGAAAGGTGGGAGGGAGCACGTGAACTTCACAGAGTGGTGAGTCAGCTGATATAAACAAGAATGATTCAAGCACAAACATATACCTGATATTCAGGTTTCTGACTCTGCTCCCTTTCTACAGAAGAGGTGCCCCACATCTGTTCTGCAGCCCATCCTTTTCAGTTGCACCTATTGTTGTTCTCCTGGACAAGGAAGCCCCACAAAGCCTGAACTGAATGGGAATGTGGCTCTCTGTTCAATAAAGCACGGACCAGATGAAACATCAGCTGAGAAGAGTAGTGGGGAGGACATACACCACACAAACACATCCTTTTCCTGTTTCCCCTTGTCTATGTGCACTCCATAAAGCTGGCAAGACACAAATCACCGCACATCTCAGAAGAGAAAAGTTAGGGAGAGACAGTTCCCTAAAATCAACTGTAGTTGTGCAGTATTTGAAAGTTACCAGAGTCCAAATAATCATCCAAAATATTGAAATAATGTTGAAAGGTTCTTTAAAATAGCTTTCCACACAACATGAGCCAGAAAAAAAAAAAAAAAAAAGACAGGAAAACTCATCTGGAAAGCAGGAAATTTCCTATCTTCAGCAAGTGATAGGTCTGGTTCTGCCTCAAGCCATTCAGTGGCCAAAAGTATTTAGCGTAAAATACCTGTGAACCGTATCACAGAACTGTACAAACATCCCCAACTTAGCAACACTGATTTGGTTGAATGCGAGTGTTTCTGAATCTGTCCTGGTACTGGCATCTCTTCTGTTCCCCTTTACACCAAATTTATGCCTATTGGTCTGAATTTATATGATGAGCTACAATATTGCTCACCCACGCCCATGCCTTATGTCTAGAAACCAGAGGACCTGACCTACCCCACTTCTGTCACAACGGTTCTTACCTGCATCTGGGACCCAATAACAGTATTATTGCAGGCCAACTCTGTTTTGTTGATTGTGTCTAGCATAGCAGTTTTGCCCACATATTCTTTATTAGAGTTTAGATGACGCTCCAACAAGTTTTGTACATCAGCGCTGTACTGGTTAGTAAAGGCTTCTTCGTACTGATCAGTCCAGAGTCGTATTCGATTCTCCCACCCTTCCGCTGTGTTTTCATCCAAGGCATGCGCTTCAGAAGGGGAATTCTGCACCAAACAGCAAAGAGTGAATGGCTAGTGCACAATGGGAAAAAACCTAATTCACAGTGCTCTGAGCACATGAATATGCTACAAAAAAAGGCAAACCTATTCCAAGCTAAGAAAGTGTGGGTTACGAGGACACCTTTTTCAGAACCTGCATCCTCCAGAACATTGTACAACAGTGCCACTTAGGAATCTACGGAGAACTCTGTGCAGGACTAAGACCTCTGGAGAGCTAGTACTTGGCACTGCTCCATACAAGAAAATTAAGCTAGTACATGGCCTGAAAAAGTTTTTTAAGTCACTTTGGAAAAATAATTAAGTAGATTAAAAAAGCAAAGGAACAGGACACACAAAGGCAAATAAATCTCATGTAGGCTTGTCCTACAGTCAACCCACTCATGTCCAACATAATGCTAGATGATGCTGACTGCATCTTAATCTTTGCAGTGACTGATCCAAAAATACTTCTGAACCTTCCAGCTAAATGGTCATCAGGGTTTCGAGAAACTGAATGCAGAGAATAAGCTAATACCCAGAAGGTTAAAACTGCAAGTCCTAAGCAGTGTAAAGAAGAGAAGGCAAAATCAGGTAATCCGTTTATACCATCTTGTAAGGGAGGGGAAAAAAGAAGCTGGTAGAAAAAAAAAAAAGCTTCATTCTTTACTTGACAATAGTTAAAGTAATTCAACAAATAATATTCCAAAGGTCAGTAACTCAACTGGCTTCATAAGGGACTGAGATATATGTGACATTAGTGACAAGGACCACTGAAGAACAATCATTATTTTCATCATTTATATTAAAAGCATTAAGAGTTTTCATGCATTTTTAGCCTCTCAAGGCACTTCGTACTATGGAGAGAGGTGCACACAGACAGACACACCACAGGATTATTTCCTCTGAGCCACCTGCTAGAAGATACTGTCAGCTACAGTAATGGGGTCAGATGGAATTGAGTGAACTTTAAGGCACCTCTTGTGTTTCTAGGAACACGTTTAGCTCAAAGTGCAAGTCTACTTTTTTTGTCAAATAAACTTTCTATCAGATAGCCACACCTACCAGCATTGCAGAAAGTCAGAGATAAATATATCATCCCATCCATCCCTAGCAAGAGGATGTGGAGAGAAACAAGGCAACACTGCTAGGGACTCCCAACATTAACCTTGTGTACTACTCTGATGCACAAGCTTAAAATAGCTTTGATGCAATCAAATGATAACTGACCTCACAGAAAAGTGGCCACAACCAGTTCTACATCCCTTACATCAAACAGCCCACTCCCAAGTGTTATGAATCAGTCAACTCTCTTGGAACTGGATGACATTACCTTACAGAAAGCTATCTGAAGCAAAAGCAAGGTTCAAGGGGCAATTCCTGTGACGTCCTTTTGAATAGGCCTGTTTGTGGTGCATGGTAAGGCTTGAGATTATTCCAAGCCTGGTCCCACAATCAGAAATTCCCCAGGCAAACCAAGGGAGGCACAAAATACAGGGCAAAAAAACCCACCACCATCACAGAGGGTTCTCAGTTCTACTCACCTTCATCCTCAGAGACTTTCGTGAGCCCTCTCGAAAAGCCTGTCCCCCAAACAAGGAGAGAGAGAGAGAAAAAACAAAGTATTATATATTTCCTCAGAATTAGTGTCCCAGAACCACACTAGATCTTACTCCAACAGACCAACCCTTAACAAAAGATGGCAAGAATTACAGGAAGACCCACACAAGAAGCAATGGACTTGAACAAAAAGACTCTGCAATGCAAATCCAGTGGCAACTGCCGAAAAGCTTGACGGCCAGGATTTCTGAACTAAAAAGGCCTGCCTCATACTTAGTAAAAATCTCAAGATCAAAACCAAAACTGTCCCGACTAACCCCACTTGCTTTGACAGAAGAAAGGGCCAGCAACAGAATCAAGCTCGTTCACAACAAAAAACCCGAAGATCTCACACGGCTCCTGCTCCCAGTGTTTTATTTAATCAGTGCCTACCAGAAGAACTTCAAGGGAAACCTAACCTGGGGAAAATCACGGTAAAGCTAGCAGATGATGGGAAAGACCCAGCTGCTCACACACTTGCATTCCAATATAAGCAATCCAAAATTATTTCAGTTCACAAACAAGACAGTAAAGTCATCCCTCAACAAATGTTCATCACTACCTACATAGCTTTCCACACAGACACTATCTCTGTCCCTGAAGAACAGTGCCAAGAAGCTCTGCAGCCCAGATTCCTTAACATAGCCTGCTAAGAAATGCCATGCTCCCTTCAGTATTCATTCCATTCACAGACTGCCCCTTCGTCAAAAACAGACAGACTCCAGAAGCTATTTCCCCAAATCCTAATAGAGCAGAAGAGAACATATGTAATCGAATCAAAGCTCTGAGCATGAATGGACAGCGTTGGGAAATAAGGGTGGAGTTCCAGTAAGGTAATTTTTAAACCAACAGCCATGTACTCTAGCAGGTCACAAATACAAGGCGTCACATTACTACACCAGAAAGAGCAATTCCTGACAGGACAAAAGTTTCTTGTCTACTGCCAGTTTGTCAACCTGCTCTCAACAATACTCCACAGAGAATTTGGTAGGAACTGCAGCAGCCTTGTCTCACTCCACATACCTTGATCTTTTTGGCCTTTGGAGCAGTGCGAGCTTTTTCTGTACTCCTCTTCCTCTTCTTAGGTTTGCTTCTACGGACGCGGTTGACAGTCAGCGTGATGCTTGTAGGGGTGTGCTGCGTAGCTGTGTACAGCACTGTAGAGGGAGATAGTTCTTCATCCCAGCTCTCAGTTGCACTGCTGTCCCCACCTATAGAGAGGAATGCTTCATTAGCAATGTTTTTATTCATCTCAGAGAGAACAGCTTAATTTTATGTCCATTTTCGTCGAGACGACTTGATGACCCTGCATAGCTCTTCCCTGAGAAAACTATACCACCTCAATTTTCCCACCCAAACTGGGAACAGGTCTCCCAAACTTCTGATATCTCACAGAATGGCACTGATGAACATTTCCCTTTTCTGTTCACAAGATAATCTGATTTTCCCAAGAGCTAGCTGAAGTGAGGCGGAAGGAGAGGAGAAAATTCCAGTGGTTGGGAGGCAAAGAACATTAGCGGGCACTGATCACAGTTACATGGTTACAGGAGTCAAAAGACAAAGGTCTTGTAGAAAGAAAGCAAAGGTCACTGTTGCCCGAATTACAGCCTCAAGCTCACCTGACACGTTGTCCTGCTTCCGGCGGCGGAGTCTGATCACCTTCCCCCTGCTCATTCCTCTGCCAAAGGAGAATGCACAATTGAAGCTGGTTTGTAGGAGTAAAGTCACTTGAAATTCAACAGGATGTCACAAGATGCGTGCCCTCAGTGGGGCCCAGGATGATAAGAACATCGATTTAACATCCTCATCTCCACTCCTGGTGCCACCAACACTTGTCAGGCTGACAACGCAAAGGAGGAGGGTCAATACTGGGTAAAGCACTGGAAAGAACGCTCCAGTTAGCAAAAGGAAGTCCGTCCCACAGCCCAAACGTGACACGGTTCGGTATGAGAAGTCAACACAAGGAGCAGTCCAGATCTGCACTGCACCAAAGCTTACCTGCACTTTTCACACTTGAGGAGGAAACCATCTTGGGAGACACTGCAGTGGCACCAAGTGGGAATTGATTCTCCTTCCGAGGAGCTCTCACTGTCCCCAGAGTTCTCTTCATCAGGTGAGTGGAGGCCGTTCAGTTCTGCACGAGGTATAATGGTCTGAACAGGAGGAGAGGCTGGCGGCGTTGGAGGAGGAGGGGCTCCATAATTATGATCCTGAAAACGAGTATTTGCAGTACTACTTTTAACATGAAGATATGATGCCTAGAAACTGAAGTCCCAAATCCACAGTTCCCAGGTTATTATTTAACAACTGGTGTAAAACAGTAGTCTGAATTCCTCAATCTACCAAGAAGGTAAAGCAATAGCTCTGAAAGATGTGAACGGTTTTCTTCTGCACCAATGAATTAAATTCAAAACCTATGAAAACAACTATGCTATTTCAACATTAACTGTTGTACTGCTAACAATCTGAGATGACATCAGTGGTCAAACACTGGAACCGGTTGCCCAGAGACGACATGGAGTTTCCGTCTGTTAAGATATTCAAAACCCAACTGGACACGATCCTGGGCAACCTGCTCAAGCAGAGCCAGCTTGAGCAAGGGGGTTGGATTACATGATCTCAAGAGGCCCTTTCCAACCTCAATGATTCCATGACGTCCTGTTCATCCCATAGTTTCAAGCCATGCTCCCACTCTTCCTGACTGTTCCTTGTTTCTCATAGCTATAAGTTACTAATATGAAAATCTGCGCATTTGAAGCAAGTATAAATAGTGCACAATAAACCAAACGGGGCATAAAATTACCACCAGGAAAATATTATATATTCATACTTCATTCATATACATCATTCAGTTAAAAAATCTATCACCTAGAACACTAATAAAGCTTGCTATAGAGTATGCAAGACTTCACAAACAATAAACACACAAATGCAAAATGTATGGCAGAACTCAGCTGTAACTCAGTGTTCCCTAATAAATAAGCCAAAACTCCTAAGGCTTAACAGGCAAAGAACTATGGAACAAGGAGAAAAGAGTAAAGTAGACAGTAAAGAGCTGATTCACTGCAGAGAGAGTACTCACTGCGTAAGGCAGCCCGCGATAGCTGTGTTTCTGGGTGGCCCCATAGCCGTGGCTGGAGTACACATTCTTCTCACTGACAGCTGGACTAGCTTCCACAGACTCTGGGCTGCAGGAAGGGCCAGAAGTAAAACCCATCAATACAACATCATTTTTTTAGTGCCAGTATTTCACTGCTCTTTTCTATTCAACACATGAGCTCAAAATGAAGAAACTTCATGAAATCAAGGTGTTCTTATGCGCTTCACCAGGCATCATGTGTGCAGAAGTTGTACAGGATGAACCTGCTTTCAGAGGGAAGGAACTGAGTAAGGGCCACCCTGGATAACTCATTAAACTGGGTCTCAATCTGGGAAGTTAAAAAGATAATTAGCATGTAAGAAGCTCAGTTTCCTTATAGTTGAGGAAGTTGGGTCTAGTTCAGCATTCACATCTGAACTCAGCCAGCCTAATCTCAAATCCACTGAACAGTACTGCCATGTTATCTCCGCAACAGCTTATTTCAAATAGCAGCTAAGAAGCTTTCCTGCATCTGCGCTTGTTTCTCTCTCCCTCAGATACTAATTGTTAGCCAAGTCCAACGTCCTGTGATAAAGTCTGCATGAAACCTGCAGCTGTCCTGACAGCAACTACCAGGAATTGGAGACTCCTGTTACAAAGAGGCAACAAAATTCGTGACCTGGAGAGACAGTCGCCACAGACAAATCGGGTTCGCCCCGTGCTTTCTATACAGCAACATGGTATGCAATGTGCTGAACAGAAAATTTGCTGCTGAGGTACAATGCACTTTTCCACCACATGGTGGTGAAAAAAACAGCTAAAAATGAAAGGTATATCCTTAGCAGAAAGCTGCAGAAACCCTACTCAGAGAAGGGACAGCTGCAATTCAATGCAGGGAATATTAGATAATGAGGCTACAGACAGAATACCGGCAAGGAAACACACTGTCTGTTACAAGCAGAAGATGCAAGTCAGCTAACCTCTGCACAGATCAGAAGTAGGGCCCATATCAAAATACAGCAGAATATTACTGGATTATGTCTGCAGGTGAAATCTTCTTCAAAATTATAGCATAGAGCTGAGCAAGCAGGAAAGAAAAATACAGGAAAGGAAAACTTTACCTTGGACCTCTGCTGCTCTGGTGAGATCTTGCAGGATTCTCAGTGGGTCCTACCTGGTCAGCGTGAATCAGGCAGCACTCAAACAACAGTGGCCAGTGGTCACGCATGGGGCAGTGTTTAGACACCACCCAAGAACACTAACCCCCGTGCCCTTTGGACTTCCTATTAGCTCTTGAAATCTCTTCTGCACTGGTTTGCCCCACCCTGCCAGTAAACCTGATATACTCTCCAACGCACTAACCTTCTGAGCTTCTGGCTTATTCTGGAGTAAGGTGGATCTATCTTTGCAACATAAAGGAGCAATAATTTATTGTACAAAGAACTGCAGAAAGTAGAAGACTGTAAACCTACACAAACCACACTTCTGTAGCTCAGGATTTAGGAGCATGACATGATAAATTCAATTGGTTTTCAATGTAACCACAGCCAGCTAAATTGTCAAAAGCAGGAGATATAGGTGGCAATACCTCTCAGGGGATATACTTCTTAATAAAAGACACTGTGTAGAGCTTGCCACACAATCCAGCCTTGCTGGATCTTTGCAACAGTCCTTTAGAACTTCCAGATTGGTACAGAGTTAAATCCATTCAGGTTTAATTATATTTTCAGAAACAATATTAGAAGGAAAAGAGCCTAAACAGCCTAAGCAGCAGACTCATCCTCTGTCCAAGTCACCCATATTCCTAACTACAGTCAGCCTGGAATACCAGCAATGCTGCCGCAAGCATTAGCATTAAAACTTCAGGATTGCTGGTGCAACAGTGTCCAGGGGCAACAACGCTGGGGCCCATGCTTCCTCAGCAGCAGCCACCCGCCAAGGAGCTTCAACAACTTTCAATATGCAGTCAAACTACTCTGCAGCCTCCATGTCACCCTCAGGGGAATACAAACACCCTTCAGCATTTTCACCTCCCCTCTGTATCAGAGGCCAGGGGAAGATGCTAAAGCTCAGCCTGAAAAGAGGGCCAAGCTAGTTTTCCTTTTACCTTCCCACTGCCTTTGTGATGCACATCTTTGAAATCAGTCCCTTATAAGAGACAAGAAGCTCAGGTACCCCAGACTTCATGCATCAAACTAGTAGAGTTTCAAAGGAGAAGTGGAGGATAGCCTTAACGTTGAACAGACTCACGAAGGACACTTCAGCAGTAAGTAACAGTGCATCAATGCAAAGCCTGGAGAATAAAGTTCTGGCATTCCCAATTTTCAGAAAACAGACAGAGAAACCAATTTAGAAATCTTCAAAAGCCTTTTTTCAAAGCACTCCAGCCTAGCCTCAAGTAGGACCTACAAATTTCTTACAACCAGGGAAAAAGAAAATGCTTTGCAGAAGGTTTACAGTCTTTTTGATATTTGAATGTTACAAGGGACATGCGTAGATATATCTGGCTCTCCTCTCTACCATGCTCAGCTCTGAAAGCAAAGGGCCTACTACATGAGTAAACTATTTAGCACTCTTTCTCCTGTCATAAACAGTTTAAAATTCCTGCATGTTGAGTCTTTAAAGTGCTGGTGTGGGAGAAGCATGGTGACAAGCAATACTGAATGTTAAATCTTGAAAAGTGAAGGATCATATACCCACTGCAGATGAGTGACTTAGTAGATTCTGACTCCCCATTTAAAAACAACATGTAAAAATATGGGCTTTAGGATGGAATGAAGCATCACGAAGAAGAATGCCTAGAATAGAGCCAGTGCCAAGACAGACAAAAAAGAGCATTAGCAGTCTCGCAGAGAGTGCGACTGTGTAGTCAAACTCCATGCGTAGTCAAATTAGGGCAAGATGGAGGGGAAAAACAATGATTCATACCCTAGCCCACTGCTCTTACAGCTCAAAATTAATAGAGTCTGGAGCAATATCTGTTCTACACTGATCAACCTGACATGCAGGTATTTGCACAGTAGGTACCTTTAAATAATACATGGGGGAAATCTATCTCCAAAATGCCCTTTGTAAATTTTCATAAGGAGATGCTACAGTCCGTATTTCAAAGAAGGATGCAGGAAAGCAGGAGGTAGAAGCACACAGAAATAACTTGAGCCCTCCCTCTCACCCCCGACAAAAACAGTACTCATCCGAGCTGACATCATTCTAACAAGGGTTTTAGAAAAGACTACAATGCAATATTTTCTGGATTTGCAATGTTCCTGACTCCTGCAGAAGCAGAGTCTTCTAAAAGAAATGGTAAGTCCCCTCCTACAGGCCTCAGAGATAGGGCTGCGGTAAAAGCCCTGCGCAGAGTCCTGCGGTGGGGACCCTGAAGGATTGCCTACTGAGGTGTGCTTCTTGGAACCTGCTCAGGGGCAGAAACAAAATAAAGGTGTCTACACAGGCTGATGCTGTCCCACATCTCTGCCCAAGCTCCAAAGGGGTCCAGAAATCAGTCATGAGGGTACTGAGTCCAAGCTAGTAGGCTCTACTGAGAGGGAGGCTCAGCACACTGATCCCTCGTATAATGCAACTTTTGGAAAAGGAGCCGGCTTGTACCGTGCCAATATCAAGCATGGGTACAGCAAACCCACAACTGCCTGCACTTGAATATAGACTTACTAGCCAAGCTGATATAAAACCCACGGTTGAGCGCCTCATACTGTTGGAATTCTTTTCCCATCTCCTGTGTCAAACTTACCGATTTCCATAACATTGCATTTGTTAAACACCCAGAGTCTGTCTCTGCATTCATTTCTCACACAGCCAGCAGACCAGCACCCCCTTTCTCCCGAGTGGAGAAAGCACCGGCACCGATCCTGCAGCCCCACTCCAGGGCAGCCCTCTGACACCCTCCCCTCCTCCTTCTGCTCCTCCGTGGGGTAACACTCACTCCGATCCTGCAGCCATGTCGGAGTAGGACGTATCTGGTGTGGTGACTCCCAGAGGGATTGCAATGCTCATGACGCCCGTCGGGGATCACGGAGTCCAGAGGGCAGCGACTGGCCGCTCCGAGGGCGGAGAGGAGCCGCAGAGCCTCGGCCAACACGTCACGGACATGGGGAAACCTACCGGGGTAGAAACAAAGCATTGCATCTCCGTTACAGGATGAGGTCTCCCTGTACACCCCTAAAGAAGGCTTTCACAGCAAAAGAAAAGCAGAAATAGATTTCCATCAGTGACATGCCGCATCATTTTTACTTCATTTTCATATGTGGGGCCAGGGAAGAGGTAGATGGTAGTAGTTTGGTGGAGGGGTTTTTTTTGTGGGGTTTTATTTTTGTTTGGTTGGGGGTTTTTTTTGTTTTTTTACAGTCTTGGATTGACATGCAATGAGCTGCTCTGCCATAAAGCCGATAATGACAGTTTCCCTCCTCCCCCAACTAAACTTAGGACTAATTATCAGATAAGCAATCTATTAGCTCCTTCTGCATATAAGCAGCAGCTGTCACCTATCACCCACAGCCCTTCATCAGCATTTCCTAACTCCTTCCCCAAACAAGTTGCAGGCAAAGCCCCATCTGGAAGGACAATGAGACAGAGCCGAGGTGGACTGAGCTGAGACCTCTCGCTCGAGACCAGCTTCTATTTGCATTCACTGGGTGCAGGGCACGGGAGAGCACGACCGGCAGAGCGGCTATCCCCACGCCACCGACAGCCTCCCCTCGGCAAGCGAGGCCCGTCCTGGATTCTGCACCGATTACTCAGTCCGGCGAGCCCTGACGCAGCGGGCCCCGACTTTCCGAAATCCTAGCTGACACCTCCCCGCAGCAGAGCCACGTCAGACGTCTGGGCGCTCACGCATAGGCCGCTCCGATGAGAAACACGGCGGGGCCATTGGCTCGGCGCGGGGAGCCGGGGTGAGTCACGGCGGCATCACGGGGTGCAGCCGCCGGCTGTGCCGGGGCTGGCAGGGAAGCCTGCGCCCAGGCTCCCCCTTCCCTGCTGACCGCAGCGTTTTGCTAGGGCAGCAAGCAAAATCGCCGATAAACGCAAACTTCCAAGGGTCGGATGGCGGACGGAGGGAAAATGGGATCAGCTCCTCGTTATGTAAATAACCTCATTAACACAGATGTTCATAAAGGAGCTATTATTCTACGCAGCTCTAAAGAAAACCGCCACGATACAGAGCAAGGCTGCATTTCAGCACATAGCAAAGGTAGCTCCAAAACCAAAGAAAAACGGTTACAATTTAGCCATCCTCTCTGCACGTTAAACTTTAAGGGCAGCCTTGAATAACTTCCCGCAGTCTTTCCCCCGGCTCCGGCGGCGCGGATGAGCCAGCCTGCGCTCGCAGCCGGCCGTCACATGCTCCCCGGCATCGCGGGGGCTCTGCCAGCAAACCCTCCTGGGCTACAGAGAGGCGGAGAGCCAAGTCTTCCTGTGGGTAGTGAATTTCTCACAGGGAACTGCCTTTGGAAACGATAGTCCAGCCATTGTTTAAGACAAAACCCCCAGAAACACAAAAACACACACTCACTACAAGGGCAAATGAAGGAAGAGTGAAAGAGTCAAAGTGTTTAAATGCCACACACTATATTGCCTTTTCCTGTCTTAAAATGCAGGCCACTTCTCTTAGCACAGGGAAACATTTTCCTTCTTCAGTATACATCCCTAAGAGAAATCTTTCTGATAGTATGACAGGCATACAGCAAATTACAGAAGTAGCACGTAAAGATTTTTAAGTGGTCTGTGGCAATTCCCTGTTATGCCCCAAAGCAACAGTCTCGCAGGGAGGTGGGAGTTGAAAAGGAAAAGAGGCAGGACTCAGCTCACAAGCAGCTCAAACCCAAGACAGCCCAGGTGTCCTTGAGTGTGTTTTTTGGAAAAATAAAAAGAAAAATAAAAGGACCTTTAGGAAGTGCCTCATTTATCCTTTCCCATGCTTGTGACATTGACACCAGACAAGACAAACTGCTGCTAAAATACAGCTAAAAGCTACAGACATCAATCCCTGTTTCAACCCAGAGTCACATAAAACTCCGGCAAAAGATTAAAAGAAACGGGACAGGTCTGAAGCACCCTTCCCCTTTTAAGGAACATAGAAACCTTCCCCCCGACCCCGCCAATAACATTTTTAAATACTTGCTTGGATTTTTTCCCCCCCAATTGATCTCTTGCCTTTGCCATGACCATACCCAGCTGGCAGCAGCCCGAGATTTCATCAGGACAAATTCCAGCCTCCTGCCTGCTCGTGACTCAGCAGAACCAGAGAATTTCAGGTCCGGCTTCTGGATTTGAGAGTCACAGGGTATCTGGTCAGTCCTGGGGTAACTGGGACAAGTTTTCAGCCACTTCTCATAGGAAATCCTCTTTCCATCAATGCTGTACAAACACCAGACTGTTTCAGTGCAACAGTAACTCTCACTTTTGGGGAAGAGATTACTGGAGAAACACGAAATACCAAACAGAAAGGTTAGACGAGGCGAATTCCAGTTCAGTCGCTTTTGTGTTGACCCAGCAGTACTTGCCCAACCATCACCGCGCTCAGATTTTGCTGTTTGTTGCTGCTGTTTTATGTGTACTTTCAACTCTGACAATGTAACATTCAAAATGAATTGCTGAGACCAGTCGCAAGTGCTGTCCAAGACCACATCACCTTCAGGCTAGATTACAGTCTGGTCTTCATGAAACTTGGCCTGGTAACACCCAAAACATTAGCCTGCACAGAAAAGACAGGGGTTGAGATCAAAATGTTCACCCACCGAACTGGCTAATTTCCTATATATACAATCCCCAAGCTCCTTCTTACCTCTCCCCCGCAAAATATACAGCTGTATCGGAGAAAAACATCGCACCAAGTTCTCTCCAGTGCCATTGGAAGAAGTTTTCCTAAAATTCAAAGTCTTAATGAAAATTCGGTGAGCTTCAGACCACAGCACAAACCTATCTCCCTTGTGATACAATTCTTGAAATCAAATGGAAACAGGAATTTTGATGGCCTAACAGGTAAATAATACTTAGCTGGTTTTGAAAATGCAGGATTTAAAGATATATTTTTTTCCCACGTTTGCCATCTATACTTCTTCCTCCTTAACCAGTCATACCAGTATAGAGACACCTGGTCTTCCCCAACATCACCAGAACAGCCCAGATGAGCATCCACCTGCACAGCCATCCCAGCATTGGTACCCCCGATTCTCACTCGGCGCAGGTCACACACCAAGGGACTCACCCACTTCAGACCAAACCTTAAGTGGTTGCCTTAGCTAAAATGTAAATATATGCTATTCAATTATTTCAGGTAACATCCTGTATTGACAGAAAGGGCTGCAATAAATCTAAGCTGGCCAAGCGAAGGTTAGGCAACACCTGCTATAACAGTGAATTTAATTTTCAGAACTCTGTTTAGGATGCAACAGCTGCAGCGCTGCACTGGCTCACTTCCACAACCACTGCTGTCCATGTTACAAACAAAGCAGAAGCAGAAAATTTACTGCTGGAAACTCTTTTCATTACTTGTGGTGTTAAAAGTCAGTATTAACAGGGACAATCAAGCATGGTCAGTCAAACAGCTCGCTAGAGCTTCCTCCTTCAAGATGTGGTTGCTCCCCTTTTCCCCAGGGTCCTGGTCTCACAGACACCTCTGGGCACCCGTGGTGTGCCACACTTGGTGACAGACTCTACTAAATATTTGTGAGAACTGTGAAAAATTCACCCCGGACAAAAACCGTGGGCACAGCCTCACAGACTGCACGTGTTATCTAAATTCAGATGCCCAGACTTCATCACCATTTGGTGCTGCTCAGGTGATGCTATACTATCTCGGGGAGGGGAGAGAGCACTCCCCTTGCACCCTCCCACGGTCACAGACTCAAGGGGAAAGCAGTTACCAAGCAGGGGGAGGACAGAGAGATTCAATCCTTTTCTCTGCAGTGTCAGTGCAGGTCTGTGAGTCCATGTCTACAGAGGGCTTGAAATATTTTAACAATGTGCATCCAGTGTCTCATGCATTGCCGAGAACGATAAGAAGGTAACGCTGGTACAAAAGATATTGTGGACAAATTGAGAAAAGCCTTTTCCGATTATATACAACTTCAACACGTGTGCCAGGGCAGTGAGGATGGGGAAATCCCCTTTGCCTGCACTGATGAAGGCCACTTCTCACATATCTCTTGTTCGCAGAGAGCAAAGGACAAACAAGCGCTTGTTTTACCACTCCCCACACCTCCCAAGAACTCCACTTACTGAATTCCCAAAACTGGATGTGGATCCAAGACTTTTGACAACCCAGCATTACTAGTATCCAAATGATAACCGCCATCCTCTTCTCCATGCTCAGCAACAGGCCTGCAGGTCACCTGTATAGGATGAGCTCCATATGTAATTCCATGAGCTGCACGTCTTTACGCTCCCAAGCCATTACCAGTCACATCAAATTCAAAGCATGTTTTCCTCCTGCATCTCACACTGCCATAGGCCAGAGCTGGTGGCAAACTGGAAATAGCAGCTCTGCCATGCAGCCTTCCTTGGCATCCTCTCCATCAACCTCATCTGGGACAGAGCCAGCAAATTCTGACCAGTTCATACTTACGCTGCCATCTGCATCAGAGGCAAACCTCTCTGCAAGTGGAGCAGTATAAAAAGTGTTAGCAGGCTTATGGATCCTATTCATTCATCTTTTGCCTGGAAATTTCAGAATAGCCAAAATCTATGGGACATCTAATGTAAACATGAAGTGCTTCAATTACCATACTGAAAACGTCCTGTCTCATCAGCTGGTGCCACTCAAATACACGTGCAGTCCACCCGAGACCGAGCAAGCACTGCCTGTTCTTTCCAGCACACCCATAAACCTCATGTCAAGGGCAGATCCTCACAGAAGGGCAAGCACCTTTAGCGCAAACAGAATCAGATCAAGGGTTTTTGCATTTAAAAAGGCTAGCTCAAAAATGCATCAAATTCCCAGAATTTCAGATGCGCTGTTCCATAAGGACACATACACAGAGGCAGGGGCAGAGCAGATAAATCCTTAAGTCATTTAGCTCCAACTTACTCTGAAACATAGGTTCCTAACAGTTCTTGAATTGTGCCTCAATCTACGAATACAAATGCTTAGCTCTGCTCTGAAAACAA